GCCTCATGAGGATAACTGAGGAACTATTTCAAGGAAATAGCGGCTCCAGTCTAGAAAACCATGATTAACGGCTGTGGGGATCTGTTGCGCTGACCACGTGACACTCTCTATCAGTAAAGTTGGCACTAACTTTACCGACAAGCGGCGGTCACTCGGCCTGTATAGTTCGCTTGCAGATTACAGGCCACGGAGTTTGTTTGTTTGTTATTACAGCTCACTAACAAATATAATTCTTAATTGTCTGAGTGGATCACAGATACTCCATTCGGGCCTGCTACACAGCAGATGATTTGACTGAACTTGTCTCTCCATATATTTTTCTTTATGTTTCATGGCCAGTATCTAATGTTTCACATTGGCTTTGAGAATTTGGGCATGGCTAAGCCAGGAAAATGAAATTATACAGGGAAGTTCTTACTTTTCTTGACCAGTTCATGGCTCTGCACTTCATAGCAACCAGTGCACCCAGTGTATCTGTTTCAATTTTCTTTAATCTCTATGACTGCCATGACTGCAATCAGCATTCAGTCACATGAAGCCAACTGAAATGCCTCATTGGTTTAGAATATAAATATTCAAAAGAAATAGCCATCTCACAGAATGTCTTGCTAAAACTCAGTTCTGTTGTTTGACATACGAGTATTTATGTTTCATTTGCCCATGGTACAAGACAACTGGAAGGCATAAAAATACAACTAAATAATTATTTTTCTTTGAAACAAATTTCATGCCATTGCTTCAGTGTCTTTCATTACTACCACCACTGTCATTGTCGTCATCATCATCACCATTACTAGCACATTCACAAACAATCCAGTCACATCATAATATCCAGTGCTGATGAAACACAGAATACATATTACAAGAAGCTCTTCTAAAGAAGCATTTTTCATGAAAATGAGGACACTGCAAACAGTGCATGCAACAATCTATCAGTGCACTGTGTTTTCATAATCTCACACAGGATCTTCAAGATTTTATTTTATGAATGATTAACTATTTATAATTATCATCTTCTTCTTCTTGTCTCTTTACAATAGTTCATGGCATAATACAGTACCAGAGGATCTTTTTAATGCATTGGAAGAACAAAGAATAGAAGATAACATTAACACACACCACCCAGTGCACCATTTCTTTGAGCCCTGGACTATACAACCTGGGTACCCGGTCATAAAAGTTGTGAGAGAAAATGGCAAAATTAGTGTGACACAGGTAAGGAGAATAAATGTTTAGAAATCATTACACAAAACCTGTAAAATTGAGAAAGTTAATTCAAGGATATATCTATCCTGTCTTCAGGAAGGCTGTGAGCAGTACCTCTTACTGTGGCTTCTATGATAGCTTTACACTTGCAGAAAGAAAACAAGTATTCTAAATAAGGACATGATTCCTTTTCCCCTAACCTTACACAACCACAACTACAATAATACTGTATCTTTAATAAAATTTGTAAGCCGTGCAATATAAAAATGTGATTTCAAATTGCACAAACTAAGGGACAAAACATGGCAAGAAGAACATTATCTTCTGGATTGTAATGCCGCACAGCCTGGTAGTTCACTAATATTTCTGAAGAACGCAGCACCTCCATCTTCAGAACTGAAGATAAACGAAGCAAGTAAAAAGCAACAAGCGAATGGCAAGCCTACTTTCTGCCTGCTTCTTGCTCGTTACTTACTTGGGTCACTCTTCCTCCAAATCATCAATAAGCTCCAAGAGGAATACATGGCACTGTGTGGGGTAGTGCCGTTCAGTGTCACTGCTGTGAGGACTTCTGATCCAACAAAACATGACAAGGCTCTGCATAATGAGCACAATGAAACCCTTGTTTATTGAATATGTGTTTAAATCTATAAAAGAGTACAGGAGAGGGGATACTGTAGTCGGTATAGCAACTGGCTACAGGCTGGACAACCGAGGGGTCAGAGTTCGAGTCTTGATAGGGTCAAGAATTTTCACTTCTCCATATCATCCAGACCGGCTCTGAGGTCCATCCAACCTCCTAACAATGGGTACCAGTGCTCTTTCCCGGGGGCAAAGCGGCCAGGGTGTGAAGCTGACCACTCACTTCTAGTGATGAGGTAAAGAAAATGTGGATCCATACATCCACTCCCCCATACGTCTTCATGGCATAGTGCTCAAGCAGTTAAGCACAGGGACAACTTTACCTTTTACCTTTACACTTACAATCACATAAAGTACAATCCACTTACTCTGCGCAGACTTATAAACCGACAGGAACAGATGGAAAAACTAGCAAGCACTGTTATTATCAGTGCAAAGCATGACCAACAGTGACTCACATCTTTTGTGTACCTATGTGTTCAAAACATGTTTAAAAATAATAAAACTTTAAATTATTAAACATTATTATACAACCAGACATTCTATGCAATGTGTGAATAGTAATAGTATTTATTTATTTGTGGTTTATTTAATGACAGTATCTTGAACTGTACAGCATAGTGACAGCGTGAGTTAATGAATAATGAATTGAACAGGATGTCAAAGGAAGCAGTCATGACCAAATTTTGAGGTACTATCACAGCAACTGTCTGGAGGGACTGAGAAAAAATTTGTCAGTGTTTCAGCTGAGATTCGAACTAGTGATTTCTCATAAATCAAGGGCATTATCAACTGAGCCAACCTATTTGCCACTAATATATTAGATTCAATTATTTTCAACTCTAATATGATTAGAATGAATACCAAGAAATTTTTAAAAGAACTTTCTTTCATAGAAACACGAAATAGTGCAAAAATTGTGCTACCTAGAATTTAAACAGACTATAATAAAACTTTGAATTCGTTCTGAAGAGCACTGGATCTGAACAATAAATTCAGAAAACATTTAAATGGCTCCAGTTTATCATTGAAATCGAAAGGTGTATGTGGGAAAACCTTAAATCAAGGAACATTAAAAAGGGATCCCTTTGTAGTAGTTTCCAAATAATAAATCTGAACACATGCAACAAATGAGGAATTTTGTTCAGCATGATTTGATTGCATCCTGATATTTACAGGAAAGATTTCTTCTGAAAGACAATGAAAATAGTGAACTGAAATGGTTTGTACCACTAACATGGACAAGGGAGTCAGAGGCTCCTGAAGGATTTCAATCCACAGAACCAAAAGAATGGCTCCATCCCACCGATACACCAACAGAACTGAACATAGAAATAAGTCCCGAAGAGTGGATAATATTCAACAATCAGGAAACAGGTTTGTCTATTATGGTTCTGAGTGACAGCACGATAGTCCTAGGAGGTAAAATTTGTTATGATGGGGAAGAGAGTAAACAACTAGAGGCGTCACTTTCACATCAGGCAAAAGCTAATTATACTGAACTCTCTCTGTGGCTTTTTAGACCACAAGCGAACTATACCAACCGAGCGACCACTGCTTGTCAGCGAATTTAGTGCCAACTATTGCATACAGAGGGTGTCACGCGGTCTGCGCAATGGATTCCCATGGCCGTTAATCTCGGTTTTCTAGACCAGAGCCGCCACCTTTCCATTCAAGTAGCTCCTCAATTATCCTCACAAGGCTGAGTGAACCCTGTTCCAGACCCACCACTCCTCAGAAAATCTGGTAGTGGCAGGAATCGAATCTGGGACCTCTGGATCTGTAGTCAGGCACTCTGACCTCTAGACCACAGATACTGAAGCACAACAGAAATGGAACAGTGTATTTCAGCTAAGAGTAAAGAAAATTTTCAAATATGTTCATTATGACTTTCAGTCCCAAGTGATCATTATGTTCATTTACAGCAATGGACCTCAAATACTGACAAGAGTTAATCAACATCAGACATGTCAAAATGCATAAAATTGAATTTCTTCACAAAAATTAATTAAACATCAAATATACTAGGAAACTCTTCAAATATATGTTACACGCCTTGATGACAAACAGTTGAAAGTTGAAACTACTTATTAGTTACTACAGGATTCTGACGATGGTGTATAACACACTGATATATTGGGTTTTTGGACTTTATCCATCGTCCTGGTTTTTAAGATAACTGATAATAGTATTAGTTATCTTAAAAACCAGGATGATGGATAAAGTCCAAAAACCCAATATATCAGTGTGAAACTAATTATGTTCCATTTCTTTTGGGGCAAGCCATTTTTGAGGCAATTGATAAACTACAAATTGAAAGTCATGTGATGGCTATGAAGAGTGATGACTTTTGGGATGTGATACTGTGTAGTTGGGAAAAAATTCACCAAACATTTCAGAGATGTGTGCTGCCTCCATGTTCAGGGTTGGCAAGAAAGCCAAGCAAGCAGCAAGTAGCTTGTGACCCTGAAGATGGAGGTAGTATGTTCATATGAAACATGAGCAATTTCCTACTAAATTACACAGTAAATCACGGAACATAGCACACTTAAAATTTTAGTGCACATCCCCCAAAACAAATTTCATTGAAGTTCATTCAGTAATTTGATTTATGGAAGTAAACAGAGATAAGTGAATTTCTCATTATTGTTACTGTAACATGTAACTGAGATGAATTACTGAGCAAACATTTTACAGTTCAATTTAAACCTGACTTTCTCTTTGAAGGTTATTACCGGGTAAACTATGACTCTGAGAGCTGGCGACTCATTAGCGATGGTCTGCATGCTAACCATGACAGTATTCATCCTGTGAACAGAGCACAACTGTTGGATGATGCACTTAACCTCGCCCGAGCTGGAAAATTAGACTATTCAACGGCCCTTCAAGTGACAGTGTACCTTCACCATGACCATGACTATATTCCTTGGACTGCTGCACTTAATGCCTTCTCTTTCCTTGACAGAAGGCTTACTAATGATCAAGGACATACAGATTTCAAGGTACATTCATATTTCACAGGAAAATTTTTATCTATTTTCCTAAATAAAAACTGGGCATTATCTGATGTGGCCAGCACAAGTTTCAGGTGAAAGGTCACAATGGGATCAGAAAATTTTTGTGGTGCTTAGAATGTTCTACTATCTACTAGTTCATAATGTATGACACAAACTCTGTCCCAAGTGCAACAATTTATTGTAGTTCTTTCATCTTCTTTTCCTCTACACTACATGTTTCGGCCGTAAATGGCCATCATCAGGTGTATACTCTCACGTAGCTGCTACACCGCATGTAGTTTAAAATTTATAAACACCAGTCTTCCCAATTGTTCACTTCTCCGTTGCTAACAGGTCCTGATATATCAGAATCCCCCCACTGATATCTGTCAGATATGTAGAAAATCTTTGTCAACCTACACATGTCAAATTTGATTTTCGAAATCTGGCACTTTTAAAATCTTCAATTCAAATTTAATTTTTTTATCTTTAAAATTTTTCAAAACCTGACACACTCGGTGACAAACAAAAAAAAAATTACACCATACAAATATTTGTTCACTTGGTAAAAAGTGTTTGTTTCAAGGGGGAAGCTTACAATAGTATTTTCACATTTACAAAGTCTCACTACTATAGAAACCTGCAAAACATAGGACTTTAAAAATATTTCTAATCACAGATTTCCTCTCTTACATGAAGATAAAGAAAGTAAGATACTGTGCAAACATCTACCTCTATCATCCTTGTAAAACATCACAATTCATCAGTAAATTTGCCTTCTAAAGCAAATCATTTAGAAGGTAATTAATATGAAAATGTGCCCTGACTTGAACTGGCAACACAAAGCTATCCCATAAAATTTTACAAATATTTTTCTTACATGTCATAACATTAATTATAATGTCCCATTACAATATTTGTTTTATCAGTTGTTATCAAACTGCAAAGTATATGTTTGAGATGGATATCACACTGTATTTGCCTTAAAAGAAGCTGCATATTTTTCAAAGATCCACTACCACACAAAATTCCAAAATTATATATTCACTTGTTCTTGTCCATCTAGCCCAACTTACAAAATTAATTTCACAACAGTGGTACTGCATACAGTAGGGCAAACTTGTCCATGTGCTTAATCAGTTAAGGACTACACCATGAAGACTAATGGGGGAGTGGAGGTATAGTTCCACCATTCTTGACCTCGGCATTAGTTGGAAGTGAATGGTTAGCTCCATGCCCCTGCCACTTTAAGCCCAGGAACAGAGCCCTTGGTACCACTGTATAGGAAGCTGGATGGATCCCAGAGGGAATAAAAAATTATGTATGTGGAGTAACTTCCAAAATGGCCACGCCATAGCTCAAGCGGTTAGTCGCTGGCTTCCCACCGCGGTGGCCCAGGTTCGATCCCGGGTCTGGTCAGGTGGTATTTGTTGTGGACAAAGTGGCGCTGGGGCGGGTTATCTCCAAGTACTTCAGTTTCCCCTGCCAATCTTCATTCCACCAAATTCTCCATCAACATAATCACCCAAGGCAGGCTACGATAGGCCAATCAGTGGCCGCCGTGCCCAGTGGACCCAGTTGGACTTCACCCCAAACTAAGAGAATTAAAAAAAAATAAAAGAACTTCCAAAATCATGGCACTCATACTGAGTTTCAAGAAAAATGACAACTACTTAATCAGTGTAGTGGCACAGGGACATCTGTCATATTGTAAATCGTTTCTGGAAGAAATATTACTTTGAGTGTTCAGATTGTGACCTAGATTTTGATATCATGTAGTCTTGTAGGTGGATACACATGTTCCACAGGTATGTGCTGCTTCCATATAGACTGAAGTTTGTTGGTTATGTGATTTGTTTGGCTACATACTCAGGTTACAAGGAAAGTGATCACTCAGTCACAATGGAGGGCTTAAGGGACTCAGCAACCATCTTCCTTGCAACCTGAGTACATACTCCAAATAATATCTTAACCAATAAACTTCAAATCTGAAGATGGAAGCAACATGTACCTCTGAAACATCTGTATCCACCTACAAGACTAAACAGTTTCAAAAGACCACAATCTGAAGATTAGAAATTGTATTTTAATTTTAGATTATCTCGAACAGTCACGAAAACTTTCAGTGAAAGAAACTCATATTGCTACTATGACCATAAACTTGATTTAAACACAATAATCTCTCTGGAATTAGATAAGGATACAAGTGTTACAGCGTAATTATTTCTTGCCTTTTCTATTCCAGGACTATGTTTTATCCCAACTTCAACATGTGTATGAGACACTAGGCTTTCAAGAACAGGACAGTGACAACCAAGTAACATTACTGTTCAGGGTCAGTGTACTAACATGGGCCTGTCGCCTTGGTCTGCAAGAATGTATCGACACAGCTGTGAGCATGTTTAAACAGTACCAAGAAAATACAGAAAACAAGTAGGTGTAAATAAGAAACACCTCAAAATAGATAATTTTGGAGGGATTGAATAATATTTACAAATCAATTAACTGTGTTCTCACAAATATCAGGTATTAAAGTTTTTAATCATCTTCCCCAAACAATAAAAATGTTGGCTACTGCTGAGAGAAGTTTTAAATCTGCATTGAATAAATTATTATATCATTCTTTTTATTCCATGAATGAATATTAGCAACATAATTGGTCATAAGTGTGTAAATTTGTAATGTATTTAATTCAGTTAATACAGGTAATTTAAATAAAATTGTATTAATGGAAATTTTATAATAAGTTATTTTTAAATTATGTTTATTAATTAAAATCTTATTAATTTTTTTTACTTTATATTATTATTTATGTTAATGGATTAATGTAAGTGATTCTGATTATGTGACTCATATAAATTTTGTATATGTATCTTGACATATCTATTTTCAAAGGGACCATTTCCACATCCTAGGTTTGTTACCTGTATGGATATATGGAAAATAAAGGAAATGAATGAATGAATGAATGAATGAATGAACCTAACTAGACAGAGAATTATATAAGTGTTCAGGTTTTTGAAGTGGTGATTGTTCAGATGTGATCTTCTGGGTTGTGACATCATGTTGAACTCCTTGACCCTCAAGCTGTAGGAGATATACTCCTCCAAAACACTGGCATGTTTTCTGAATTACACAGTATTACAACCAGAGGTTGGTTATCGTCACAGCCACCAAAGTGACAACCTCAGATCCAGCAATATCTGATTTGCAAGAATGCTAGACTGAATGTCACAGAGGGCCTAGTTTAACCTCATACAACTCCCCATTGAGTTTCTGAACATGTTAAAATGATCTTTAATAGAATCTGAAATCATAAAGCCCACATAATACTATTTTTTAGCAGAATTCCTGCAAATCTGAGACGTCTAGTTTTCTGCACAGCCTTAGAACATGAAGGGGAAGAGGAGTGGAACTTCCTCTGGGAACGCTACCAAGAATCAATCATCACTACTGAACAAGTAACCATTCTCTCAGCTCTGGGTTGCACCAAAAATGAAGAACTCCTAAAGCAGTAAGTGTTCTAATTACTCGTATACATTGCAAAACATATTAACCAAACAACATAATATATCAGAATCTGTCATACAGAGTTTCTTCCCTCTGTCTGTTGTCTTATTGCTACCTACTCACAGAACGCATACCGGCTGGGAAGGAAATCCTCTTTCATATGGAAATCACAGACTGACAGACATACAAACTAACAGATTAAAATACAGTGGAACCTCGCTTAACTAGCATAATTTGTTCCTGAATCTTACTCGTAATGCGAAACAATTTTTCCCATATAAATTAATGTAAAATATGATAATGCATTCTATGCCAAAAAAAATACTCAAAATATGTTATGTATAACGTTTACTCAAAGAAAATTATATATACATTGTTAAGGAATGCGGAATGAACCAACCTGGAATGCGAATTCGATTTGCAGAAAAAAAAAATCAAAATAATTAGTTTATTATTTATGATACATATCTAATTCTTTGGCCGTTGATGATCCTGGTGTCTTCTTAACGAGGTCGGCGAAAATCACTTTCGCCTTCTCACATATGATGTTCTCATTAATAGTGTCGCCTTGCAATTGCTTTTCGTTTATCCATATGAGGAGCAACCTCACCGTCGAGAATATGTAACCATTGCGTAGATATTCTTGTCACTCCCTTTGAAGCATCTATCTCCTTAATCTTGTCCTTGCTCTTGAGGATAGTGCGTGCTAGATCAGCCATGCTCACATCTCGTTCTCGCTTTTCAACGATTTTACGTTTCATTTCTATGGTTATTTTTATTCTCTTATGGCTGTCGTTTTGCGGCTTTTTCTCCGGGGACATTTTTGCAAGGGTTATTAAACTTTGCACAAAAAAAAATCACAAATAATATGTCTTTACAGAAGTTTGGAAAAATGTGTGATCACAAGCGACACTAAGATGCTAGCGGTACAAGTGCTAAACACAGACTGATGTAGCAAGCACACAATCCGGGACTTCCCCTCTCATCACTCATTATGCAAAGCGTCACTTGTTAAGCGAGTCATCTTTTATAATTTGCTTTACTTGCTATACGAATTACTCGTTATGAGAGGTGATCGTTAAGCAGGGTTCCACTGCATACTTTCAGGAAAGTCACCTTACTTCAAAGTTCACCTTACTCCAAAGTTCAAGAACATTTCAGACTTATACAATGAATTCCACCTTCTTCATTAAAGTTCACTTCCTGTGATCTGTACAATTAATATTCCATATTTGTGTCTGTAAAGACTTCAAGTGCATAACTGTTTCTGTGAACCTTCTACTTCAAGTTTCCCCACAGATACAAATTACATAACAAGACCTGTCAAAGATAATAGCAATAATCCTCTACTTATTATTCAAACATAACAATTATTCTTTTTCCAGGGGACATGCATAAATTGTTTGCTATTAATTTCTTTACAGTATAATTCTGTAAACCGCTGGTATATTGCAATAAAATGGCTAAGCTGAGACATAAGTCAGTTTCATAGTCGCTTGGAGCGAAAGCAATTTACCTGCACAGTATATTTATGAGTTCCATATGACTCTCACAATAAATAGGAATTATTTTTTCCTACACAGCATTAACCAATTAGTTTTTCTAATGGAGTTACGGTGCTTTCTGTGGGGTAAGAACTCAATTTTTTATGGTATTTCAGGCTTTGAAGAATTAGTAATTTTACCGTTCACATTTTCTGATCTAATGCTTTTTTCTCGTACTAGGTACCTGGAAAAGTCAATTAACAGTAACTCTGGAATCCGAAAGCAAGATGCAGCCAGCGTGTTCTCATCTGTGTATAGCAATCCTGATGGAGTAGCAACAGCCTTCGATTTCCTCAAAAATAACTTCAATGAAATTGCTAACAAGTAAGTATATAATGTACCCTATTCACAGTATAGTATACTGCAGAGTATGTACATATATAGAGCACAGTGACAGATTATTATGAACATGGTAATAAACCTCTGCACTCTGGAAATCAAAGAATTCGTAGTGTAGCATCGATCTACTTTCAGAGAAAGGCTTACACCAAATGTTTAGTTATGATTAGTGCAGGAATTTTAATCCACAATTCTCAAGTGAATTTAACATTGATCTGGATGATTTCACTTAAAACCCACACTCACAGGTAAGTGGCATGTTTACATCACTGCCACCACAATAACTGTTTTCACTGCTATCATCACTGTAATCATCATTATTGATGTTACCATTATTCTTGTCGTCTTTGTTGTTGTTGTCATTATTATTATTATTATTATTATTATTATTATTATTATTATTATTATTCCTACTTCTTTAGTTATGGAGGGATGAATGCCGTTGCCAACAGCATAACTGGTATTGCAGGAAGACTGACCACAGTAGAACAAGTTAACGATGTAAGTAACTCTTTGCCATGACATTAGAATTACACTCTGACAACTATGTAAATCATCAAACAAGTTTGTTCCCTACAACTTTCATGCCATGTATCCATCAGTTCATCAACGAAATTACACAAATTAAACTAACAAACCAACTCTCTGGAGATTCAACATCGTTAAAACCTACAACCACCACTGAATTGTATTTAAGTAAGTTCAATCTCTTCATATTATGGGAGAATTATCACAATCATTGGCAAAACAGCCCTTTTTAAGCCATAGCCTGCCTTATAGAATTTGACCTCACTGCATCCAGTTTTCATTTCTTTGGATTTCATGACAACAATTTTTTTATAGAGCAAAGCTTTTAGCCTTGTGTTCAACCCTCAACCTGAAGGACCAGGTCCCTGTGTTTACTTCCTCTAGTGACAGAGTTGCCCAGTTATACCCCCAAATGCCAGGTTCCATTTTGTCGCCTTATGCAATTCACAGGGCTACGGTGGAAGCATTCTAACCTACGTTCACGCATGGAATTATGGAAGAATACTTACCATAAATCTATTTTAACATTATCCTCAACCGTTTCAACTGACCTCTTTTAAGAGACTTCTCAACTAAAATTCTGTATGCATTTGTAGCTTCCAAGGTTGAACCTATGTCATATCAATGTAAGATCTGATGGCTGAATAATAATGGCTATGGAGATTATCATGATGCTGTGGCTATTAACATTTCAGAGCTGTTACCTAGTACTTTTCTACCATACTATACAGCATTACATAACATCTAGCCCATCCCACTCTGCTTGATTAAATTACCCTAGCAGAGACATATGAAGTCATGTAATTTCTTACATTTTCTTTCTATGTTCCCCATTCATTCTCTGACAACCAAACGCTTTGTTTCCTTTTATGTTCTTCCTTGCAAGTACACATTCATAATTATTCAACTATGTCGACTTTTGTTTTTCTTCTTCAGCTTGAAACATTCATCAATGCTAATTCTGAAGCACTTGGATCTGCAGCTGAGTCTGGAAGGAATGCAGTAGAGGCTGCTAAAGCAGACGTGGAATGGACCAGTAAGCACAAGAATGGAATTCTAACTTGGTTAAGAAACAGACAGAATTCAGGGGATGGAAGTGCAAACATTGTTATAAACATAACTGTAATAACCACAGCATTCCTTGTAGCATTACTTACATAATACCCATATTTTCATTCATATTCATATTTTAAGAATCATTTTTAAAAATCAATTTTAGATTTAGTTTTAACCTAACTATTAAATTTGTTTTACCCTAACTGTTATTTTTACTGTTTAATCACATGTATGATTGTTGTTTGAATCAATGTCTAGTCTAGTCTAGCTGAGGAATTGAATATATATAAAAAGTAACCTTTTATGAACCATATGTACATAAAATTGGAATGCAAGCACTACAGTTCAGTGGTTGAGTGTGTAGATTTGCAGTATCTAATGATGGCCAATTAGGGTCGAAACATGTAGTCTTATATGTCAATAAACAATTGTTGCGTTGACAGTAGAATTTATACATGTTGATTTTATTCATAATTTTATTGAAATTTTAAATGAATGCACAAAACTGTGCAATCTTTTGATTAATGTTCCATATTTACACACCTTTAAAAGAAAGGATAGGTTTCCTCTAACATCTTTATTTCAAAAAGAAATTAAGATCCAAAATTAGTACAGCCAAGAACTACTTTTGAGAGCATTATTTAAAGCTTCCACTATTCATGTTCACAAAGAATTTTCGCTGTAGCAGACAATGCAGTCAGGAAATCAGAATTGAGTAAGAGGGTTTATACCCCTTAAACTTCCATTATAACTGTAAAAAGAAATGCAGAGAACGTCTTCCCACACACACACACAGCTGTAAGAAATAATATTCACAAAAATCCAAGTCATGATTACAAACTGGTCTTGTGCTTTAACTTTCGTCCTAGTCCCTGAGATTAACATTTTCCATGCCTATGTGAAGACATCAGTAAAGTTCTACTGGCACCTACATTGATATACTGTCAACTTGGCTCCTAACTTTGATTTTAGGCCATGCAGTAGCTCAAGTGGTTAGTCACTGGCTTCCCACCGCGGCAGCCCGGGTTCGATCCCGGGTCTGGTCAAGTGGGATTTGTGGTGGACAAAGTGGTGCTGTGGCAGGTTTTTTTCTGAGTAGTTCGGTTTCCCTTCCAATCTTCATTCCACCAATTGCTCCACAATCACCCTCACCTATCATCTGGGGCTGGTACAATAAGCCCGAAGTGGCCGCAGTACAAGGGACTTAGTCCCACTCCACTAGTAATAACAAAAAAAAAACTTTGGTTTTCTACCATCTGTTGGGCAAACATTCAACTCCATGCAGTATAGTTTAAACCTTTTTCTACACATCAGCAACAGCATTTGCCACTGTATAATTAAGTGTACTAACAGAATACAGGAAAGTGTGATTCATTATCATCTGTTTTATATGCATGTTGCCAGTTGTAAGGTTCCCTGCCCCCCCCCCAGCAGTGTTCAGGTGCTAAGCCTTTTGACATAAGTTGGGGGTTGCTACATCACACAGAAGAAGTTCCAGGCATCATTAAACTACATCTTTACTGCATCCTTTCCTGTCCATCATTCTTTCAAGCTATAATACTGTAACGTGTTTTGCAGCAGTTTCAAGAATATACTTCAAAAAACAGTGTTAGAAGTTGCACTGTGTCACTAATGTCACTTATGTTTGCATAGTGTTTTGAGTGTAACTGTCACAATTATACTAGTAAAGCAAATCTCAGTTTCTTTTATTCATGAATATGGTCATAGCTAACTTCTGTTTGAGAGCCACTAGGTTTAACTCTTCATGTTCAACTCACTGCAAGAGAAGAGGACAGGAAAAATGCTTACATTTGCAAGAGAGTCATTCATTAACTTCTTAATTTCATAATTATGCACAGATGTAATGAAAATATGATACGTTATTTTAAACACAACAAGCCTCCACTGAATTCAAATATCACACTTATCATCAGACTGCATTATAAATTGAAAATTTGGAAATAACCTTAAGAAGTTCTTTGTGCACAATGGTATCTGAATACACAAGCTTTTACATACTTAAGTAGTTGCTATTTCTGAGCCAGCATAATTTGTATGTAATTCTGTAATAACTTATATAAATGAAAAATAAAATAAGTTTGCTGTTGCTCCATATCAAGGCGCTAATTCACCGACGTTTCGGAAGAACCTCCACCGCATGACCGTTAGGTAACCGTTTTCAATGTGTTACGTAACCTACCTCAATAACCATCATAAATCACCCACATCGATGGACAGCCATTCTCCTTTAGAATTAATATTTTTCGTCTTTTAGCAAAGTTCGTTATTCACATTGCCTAAGTTCACCTCCTCTCACAGAAAGACGTTAACCAAAATTTCCCGGTAGAATTATAAAAAACAAAAATGTCTCGGAACAGTAAAAAACCGCTAAATCCCTAACCCTAACACATTTGTTAATCCCGAACACAGCAGCCACAAATACATTACGCATTTTGCAGTCTATATGCCAAAGAAAATATATAATCACTCCACACTGAATGTATTTTTACTGAATGTTTCAAGTACAAATACTTTAAAACCGCGTTAATATTTCGAACAGAATTCACGTTGTTCGAACGTTAATAGCCCCATACACGTGACGGTGGGAGGCTTTGAATCCTTTCGATATTTCAGTGGAGCTCATGCACGTTATGTTATCTCTGCACACATTGTTATACAGTTCGGTGCGTCACAATCAGCTGGTAGTACCTCATGGCGGTAACTATGAGCAGTGGCCGTGCCATAGCCCAGGCCGCTCAGGTGGTTAGTAGCCGGGTTCGAGGCCAGGTCAGGTCGTGTGGGATTTGTGGTGGACGAAGTGGCGCTAGGGCAGGTTTTCTCCGAGTACTTCGGTTTCCCCTGCCAATTCTCATTCTACCCACGGCTCCACGCTCAACTATCGTCCGGGTCTGGTACAATGGGTCAGTTAATGGCCGACGTACCAAGTGGACTAAGTCTCACCCCACCCCAAGAAACTAAACTATGAGGATGAGGATACTGTTTCCAAGATGTGATGCAGTGTAGTCAGAAACACAGAAGTCAGAAAGAAGTTTAATTACGTTTGGAAGAACATATTATCTCTTCAGCACAGAGAGTGGTCTGTTTGCTGATTGCCTTTTACTCTGACACTGAAGATGGAGGTAGTACATTCCTCCGAAACGTTGGTAAACTTCTACCATACTACAAAGCTTCACATCCCAGAAGATAGGTACACATTAAATAAATTGTTTGGAATTCAGAAAAAGTACACTTAGGATGCAAGGAAAGGCTTTCTGGGATCAGTTAAATTTGCTCATCATGTAGTACAGCAACATGCTGTGAAATGATGGCCATGTTCTTGGAGTTCATTTCCCTGCAAAGGTAAGAGATTTTTACAAATATGTTTTCGGACATTATTCTTTTCCACAGCATCCAGACTGGCTCCAAAGACCACTCAGCCTAATTAAATGGTACAGAGGGTTTATTCCTCAGGGTTAAAGTAGCCAGGGCATGAAGCTGACCACTCACCTCCATCTACAGCAGAGATTAAGAATACGTTTATTAGGCCTCCACTGCCCTATACATCTTAATGTTTTTGGGGCATAATTAATTGGGCACAGTGATAGCTTAACTTTACCAGTAAACTGCCTGTTATATTATCCTCCTTTTTTGAATACAGAGTATTAGTTGGGTGAACAGGTATTCAGTTTCCNAACATGTAGTGCGAGGGAGAGAAGGAGAAAAATGAGTGTATGCATTCCAAATTCTTGTTTTAATTCGTAAAAAGTTCAGGACATGTCATGGCATAATGTGAAACTTACTTATATTCACTTATAACTGGTTTAATGTATTTTATAATTAATGTCATTTGAGTGGGTGAAAAGATTGTTGCATTGAAATATATGCATTTTAATTTATAAAGTATCACACAACCAACACACTGTAATTCCTGGTTTTGAAAAATCCTGAAGGAATGTATTAAATGATCCTAGAACCATATTGTATTTAAGCAAAACACACACACACACCTGTCTTAAATGCAACTTATCTAGTGACCCTTCTACATAATAGACAAGTTGCATATAAGATGGAGATGTATACATATACAAAAGATTCTAGAATCCTCTAACCAGAGGCACCAGATCAGAACTCCATAATCCTGTCATGAGTTTGTGCTGACCCCAGGTAAATCCACAAACCGAGCGAGTGTGAGATATAATACTTAGATCCATAGGTGATTGAAGCATTTTTATTAATTTTTTTAACCATTTCATAGAACAGAATCTCTCATTTGTATGGGCTAATCTGTGACCTTTCATTGATGCTTTTGAGTCGTACCTTTCGCCGTGAAGCGTAGAGCCGTGGAAGCAGTCATGAAAGCAAAAATCCTTCCTGTATATGTATGTCATTTATCTTTGCCAAAAAGCAGTGGTTGCTTGGTCAGTACAGTTCACTTGCAGACTAACAGAGCCATAGAGTTTTAGTTTAGTTCATTTGTCAATTTATCTCAAAATACTTGGATGCTTCCAATACCTGGAGGGGGGACAGATAATTTCATATAGAATTACTGGGTTTTTGGACTTTGTCCATTGTCCAGTATTCAAAAAAGTTAGAGAACACTAGATGTGTTCTGTAATTGTGTGTGTTATACACCATCATCAGAACCCTTCAGAATTTAAATCAGACAATTTGCCTGTAAACTTGTGATAGAGAGCATAGGAGTATTTTCATGGACCACCCTAGTGTATGTAGCATATAAATATCCATCCATCAGTAATCTGTCAGACGACAGGTCCACAGTCTCTTCCAAAACAGTTCCTCCACTTAATGCGATCTTCTGTTTTTGGAAAGAGACTATCCAGGAAAAGTGATAATGTGGTAGTTTTTCCATTTGCTTTCCACATCGCAGTACAACAGCCGTTCAAACCACTCTGGTCACGCCTGTTGCTATACGAACTTGAACCATCTCGAGCATCATTTGCTCTGTGCTTCAAGTCACTGCTGATGACGCTGCTTCCGGCATCAGTTTTTGGTGTCTCTCTTCGTCTGATGCCTACCCTTTGACCTGTCCAGCAAGGGAGGCCCTGCCAGTAGCTACGCTACCGCTGGTATAGCTCTCAGGGTCCTTGGCATACTCAAACCCCCTCACCACGATAAGGTGGAGACACCAACGAGGGGGCATATAAATATATGCTTTTTTAAATAATTGTAATTTTTTGTATTAATATTTGGCAGATGCCTGGCTCATTTGAGGCCACAGCACCAAGGAACTTGGTCTCACCCCATTCTAAAACCAAATCGAATTTTCTCTCACCCTGCATCCCACCACCACCACAGAGAGAGGGGGGGAGGGAGACAACTCCCCATTTTCCAGCACACATGGGGAATGAGTTATGCCACTTTGATGACTCACCAGTTGCAAAGGAAAGCTACTACACAACCCAATTTCACATAATTCTCACCCCTTTTCAAGTCATCAAATATTTTTACTGTTTTACAAACCAAAACAAAGCTATGTAAGTTTTAAATTTAATTCTTCCTCTGGAGTCTTGCTAGGAGGCATTTTAGATATTATGGCTTCTATAGAAATAAGATAAAATTCTATGTATTTAAGCAAATGGAAATTGTAACAACAACAACAACAACAACAACAACCCAATGCAACTACTATTCAAAGACGTGCAGTACACAGTTGTATCTAATTTGATTATTTATCTGGTTTGATAGTGTGTGTTATATTTTAATTATAGGTTAACCACATCAAGAGTGATTATTTATAGTTGACAAATTCTAATGCTTTAGGCATTTGGACAAAAGGATTTCAAGAATGATGTATTTAATGATGTGACTTGTTCAAGTGTTACTGTTGTAGCAATTATGAATGCCAAATAAAATGAATGAATGAACATGAGGCTGATATGCGAAAGATTTTGGGTAGGCTGAAACACAATCACAAATTCAACAAACGTCTACTGTGACTACACACTGTCATGGCACCTGCACGAGGAAGGACAACAGGAAGAACTGCTAGTAGGATCTGGGAGAACTACTGCACAATGGGTGAACATATGTGCACTGCAACTTTGTTTTTGGTTGCATGAGAATTTCAGACAATTGGATACTGAATAAGTTTGTGTTTACTGTATCAGGTAATATAAGAGAGATAGAAGAACATTTACTAACCAGCAACAATGATAGAAGAACAGTGTGAAATCCTCAGTGAGGATACTAATAGGTGAAGTAGCCACTCCTCCAGGACAATAACTTAAAAACAGATCATGAATACTTCTTACAACTTTTCTAAGTCACCTCTCAAAATCTTTGTCATTTGTTCTTCAGTTATATACAGCCTTTGCAATATCATTAAATTACACTAAGAAAAATAAAGTTAACAGTTCTGAAAATGTGAAAAATGGAGGATACATTTGGCCAATGTGTACCTTGATTCTACAAGTGCTACTCTTGTTCTCAAATATTACTGTAGATAAAAAGTATTGATATACTATATGAACGCCAAGATGCAATGTGTACATGTGTTTCATTCTTGGATTATAAATTATACATATTGGCTTGCATGATCACCGGTCATGGTAGCCGAGCGGTCTAAGGCATGTACTGTCTTTGCTCACTTGGAAACCGGGATCGTGGGTTCGAATCTCACTCAGGGCATGGATGTTTAGTTTGTGTGTGCACGTTTCTCTGTGTTTGTGTACAGGTAGAGGCCTTGCGACGAGCTGATCACCTGCCCAAGGAGTCCTACCGAATGTGTAAGATCCAGAAAAACCGAAGTGAACGGAGAAGTTCATGGAGGTAGGCCTAGGCCCACTGGGGCTGTAGTGCCAAGGGGGGGGGGTTGCATGATCTGTCTAATATCTACATCACAGAGCATCTTGTTTTGTTAATCTATGTGTGTATTCTCCAAAGACTATATTACATTACTACTCTAGTATCTCAGGAACAAGACTTGTCAATGTTTTCATTCTGATTTCTATCACGACTGCAGATTGTGAATACTGCTCATTATGTAAGGTTCATTTAGTATATGTGATATTCCAGGAGTTAGCTCTATTCGTATTGAGAGGGGGTGGGTTTCCCCATGCACTTAGACCAGTTATTGGTCCATTGTGCGTCCCCCTTTAAGTTCTACTGTCGCCATACCCTACCGGTAACGGTGTGTGCCATCAGCCCCCGTAGAGCCAACGAGGTCGGCCCCCGGTACCTTGATGCTTCCCCCATCCACCAAAGGCATTGGAGACTACTTGGGCGGGAAAGGGCCTGTAATTTAGCTCAGAGGTCTCCTAGAGACATGAGGTTCTTTTACGTACCGTAAATCTACGACACGGGACACAGCTTAAAGTCCCTCCTGGAGGACTTGTTCCCTGAATTTTTCCGCCCTTAAAAATTCCACGACCTCCGCCGGGTTTGAACTCGTGTACCTTGCGTCATGAGGTGGGGACGTTACCCCTAGACTACGGAGGCCACTAGTTAGCTCTATTAATAGTAAATAAGTTAAAGCAGCTTGGTATAACATCGGGCTACAGGCTGAAGAGATGTGGTTAGATTACTGGCAGATGCAAGACTTTTTCTTTTTTCTCTTCTTATTAATATTCAGTATTATTCAAATTGTAATGGAGTTCTTTCTACATATGCATTCTAATGTGTGTATTGTTGTATATGGAGAGTGAGATAAGTGTATGAATTTATGTGTACATTAATTTACTTTGTATATTCCATAGTATGTGTCCTTTATGTTTAACCCATGAGGGTTGAATCATATTGGTAATTGGAAATAAATTTCAATAAAAAACACGGAAATGTTTTGATATATAACAGTATTAAAGCCAAAATAATTTACTCATTAGTTTTTTTATGATCTTTATGTCATTTTGTTATCTTACAATTAGGAACAGTGTTTGTCTTCATAAATATTTAGGCCATATTTAGTACCATGATTTAATTTCCAAAGCCCTTCTTGAGTGTCACAAGTCAAGCTTTTATGTACTATGAACTCACAAAGCATCCTTGTCAATCTGGCTGCTCAAAAAAATGAAGTTTATCACAAACATTAATTAAATTTACTCCTCATGAGGTACTAATATGAACAGATAATGAACTGTGTTGGATCTGAGTGCAATCTTCTGGGTTGTAATGCTATATAGTTCAGAGACAGCCTGATGTTTCAGAGGAACATAGTTCTTCAAACTTCAGGACTGCAGGGTGAACCAAGCAAGAAACCAACAGAAGCAGGTAGCATGCTGCTAGTATTTTGCTTGGTGTATTCTTTAACCCTGTAGATGGATGCGAACTGATTCCGAAAAATGTTAGGCTGTCTACACTAAATGGTGTTACAACCCAGAAGAGTGTAATCTTCAAGATAATGAACGCTACGCAATAAAAATAAAAGAAAATATTCTATTCTAACCAATCTTATGTAACATTTTTACTTATATGATCATATGCCATATATAATACTGTTATGCTGTCATATCCACAAAGAAAAATAAGCTGGACATACAATCCTGAGTATGCTACGACAGTCTAAGAAAAGTAATGCCTAATACATTTTAGAAACTTTTATGGTTTGTGACAATTTGTGGCCTTTCCTATTCATCTCATAAGAAAACTGCCTTTCAAGTATATTAAGAATTTTGCATATTGTCTTAAATATTTATCAATTAATGGTTTATGAAACCTTTCCACTAGATGCAGACCACAGGGACAAAACAATCGTTTCACCTGTAGAGCTATCAGAAAAAATTAAATTCCCATGCTTAACACACAAATATTCTGTGAACTCTTGTAAGAAATTCTGTAATTGCTGCTTCAGTGTAGTTCCAATTGTTAATGAACTTCAGTAGTTTGAGATAATGTTGTATTTCAGCATCCTGTTGCATTGTATAGATCTGATTTTGGAGCTTTTGTACAGTCTATGTTCAAAGTCATTCACTATTCTTTCTTCGTATTCTTTTATTGGACACTACATGTTTCGGCCTAGCTGGCCATTTTCAGGTGTCCAATAAAGGAATATGAAGAAAGAATAGTGAAAAACGTTGCACATATATAGCACAAAATCTCCAAAGTAATTTGAGGTGGCAAACTGCCATGATGATGACAACCAGACTGTTTCAATATCAGCAAAATTCCATCAATTTATAAATAACCTCTCATCACTAGCAAAGACTGAAATATATAGTGTGGAAATAGAAAACGTGTTTAACATAAACTCTCTAAAGAAAGTCTTCAAAGGATCCTTTTGTTGATGGAGTAAACTGTCTCCAGTAATGGACACTTTCTCTCTTGAAGAATTCGCAACACTTTAAATTAAAATTCCAGTACTTAAACAACCATGATGGTAATCACTGCATTCCTTATCAAGTGACTCTGTTCTACATTGAAAAATAATCATTTGAACACTTTGAATTGTTGCAAAACACTTAGAGTACAGTTATTACACAATATTCCCTGATGGAAATATTATCTTGGCTTTATCCCAAATTTTATATGATTGTCTGTGCGAGGTTGTGTTGCTTTCGAGACTCTTTGGTCCCATTAACTTGCTGCCACAGCAGTAACATTAGCCAACCACCTCACAATGGGTTCATAGTTGCGTTCCATCCACTTGACATTGGCTTCTGCTTGTTCAAGGGCTTGTTCTACAGCTCGAGTTGCTGTTCCTAACTCATGGCGGTGAGCCAATGCAAACTGCATCAACTGTAAACAGAAAAATAAGTGTGACCTAGAAAGAATGAAAAATATGTACTGACCAACTAATTAATCTTCGCATTAAACCCTGAACTTTCAACACTGTTATTACCAAAGACTGTCATTGCACATGCCCTCTTAATCTTCACAACAAATTCTGTCAAAATTCTTCTTAATTCTATCCACTTACCGTGCTTCTCCACCAGAATTCTTTATATATTTCTCCACTCCCCATCTCAGTTTCATTCGGAATTCATCTTAACTTCCTTCGTTAAACACATACAAGTCATCTGTACACTGTTCCCAGATGTGAGGAACACTCTTTCACGAATTTTTTCAAAGCAGCAACAGCCAGACACACACAGATTAACATGGGAAGTAAAGTTATCAACTATCATCTTATTTCTTTGGTATGATTCAGAATATACTGCTTTACTTTAACCCTTAGCAAAATATCAAGTTACACTGCTGTAGCCACACCATGAACTCATCATCACCAAACACTGTAATCAAGGGGTTACAACTCCCACTTATAATTTTGGATCTCAGCCCAGAGACTACTACCATGATCTAGGTTCTTTGTGGGTTTACTCAGTCCCTCATATTAGGCCAAGACCAATTTCTCCACAGCTTTTCATTAACCTACTCTACACTACTATGTTGTCAGAGCCACTAAAATTGTCATTAATAAACCACAAAAAAAAAGGAGCTTGTTGAATCTGGTGAAAATTTTGGTAGTAAAGATCTCTGTTGTCCTTATGAATGATGTAGCATTTTACATAAACAAGAAAGTAATTTATTTGTATGTCTCACTGAAACTGTCCCAAGACCTCAAAATGTACGTGCGTTTAAGTAGATATATAAAATATATATATATACACACACACCAGAGAGTATGCAGAAGGAAACACTATCACACCCCCAACAAGAACTGTGTTTGTATCCTGAACAAGAATGTGTATAAGAGATCCTGGCATGCAGGAGAAGTGTGCAGTAACTGACTGACCATATCAAAGAATGATCATTAACACCCTGTGTTAACTCATACACTTAAGTACTTCACTTTACTAGAAAATGAAAGGACATATACTGAGGTTCAGTTCTCCTCATATAATAGGAAATTTCTCTCTTTCAAATAAAGACACATTTGAGTTTTATAATAAAGTTGAGTTCATAATGCAAATACTTACGTCACCGAGTTCAAATGGTGAGTTGATTCGCTTGGTACAACTACGCACGATGGTGTTGATAGTGAATAGAGAAGATCCAAGACTGAAATGAAGAGATATGTTGCAACTAACACAGAAAGAAAATGTACTCACAGTCCATAGTATCAACCCTCAGAGTTTTAGAGTCGAAGGTAACGGGTCACAGAATTTACAGAGGTAAGTTAAGTAATTTATATTGTAAAAGATAATTCAAGCAGTTATATCTCAGAAGTGAACCGCTAGATGGTGTGCATGTGAGTGACAAGCTTGGAATGGGACAGAACAGTTTCTAGAATTCAAAATATCCAGTGGTAATGATCCAAGAATGTGTTAACAGTAGTCATTTCCTATTAATATTTCAATTGTAAGACAAGACACAGTTACATGAAATGTATTTACCAATACAATATAATTTTGCTAATATTTTTAAGAGATCGTAAAATCTATGTCCACAGCTTCATTTAGGGGCACACGGTAGCATAGTTGGTTGCAGCACTATGCTATGAGCCGGAAGGTCACAGGTTCGTGTCCCAATGAGGTAGTTTATTTGAATTGACCTATCCTTCCAGCCACACTATGACTCTGGGGCTGACTCAGCTTCTAACAGAAATGAGTACCAGGAATCTTTCTGGGGGGTAAAGGTCAGCCAGCATGTAAGGCTGATGACCTTACCACTGTGAGCCAATTGTCTAGATAATGTGGGACCCTCAACGTCTCACAGCCCCCTGGGCCTCCATGGCTTGTTACAGGAATAGCTTTACTTTTTTACAACATCAATTTGCATGGAAAGTAGGATCTATTTGGCTAGTAATTCTCATTTGAAAATTTCTCTTAGGTGACAACTAATTGATAATTTTAAAATTATTATAATGATATCAAGATGATTTATCTGATGTATAATAAGGAGATTTTATCATAATCAATTTGTGACATAATTTAATCCTTTCAGAGTCAAATATTTATGTAGTGCAGCTACTTAATCGGGCCAGTTATCTTCAAAATACTGAAAAAAATACTAGGCTCAAATTTTTTAGATTGATTAGGGAAAACATCCTGATTTGAACATTGATTTTTCAGTCTGAAACTTCCAAGAATTTTCAAACAACAGTTCTGGCTTTGTGCAGTAGCACACAAACTGCCTCATCCATTAGAATCACAATGATTGCCAACACTAGCACAAATCAACTTGTCAACAAAATCTGTCTCTTCCTCATTCTGACCCTGGCAAAAAGAAGACTTGGCCCTTCAATTTTTGTCTAATACAACCATCTATGAAATTGTTTCAATGAGGCTGGGGAAGTAGTTCACTTTAAAACATTGTGAAAAGTTGCTAGTTTTACAAATTGTGATTACAAAGAAAAACTTGACTTCATAGAGAAAATTCTCATTCCCGTTCTGTTCCTCAAGTTGTTCCAAATTCCCATCTCAATCTTGTTTTGAAATGATAAAGTCATTCTTGCATATGCCCAAAAAAGATCGTGGTGTGTTTATGTATGAATATGGCAATATTACATCATGTGTAGTTCTATGAGATAGCCAAAAAGAGTATTAGCTTTAGGTTTTTGTTCTTGAAATGATACCTAGGAGGTCAGGGGAGAATTTTAAAATGTTATATGACAAATCTAACAAAACCTGTAAGAGGCATGCCTGAGAAAGTACAGATGTGTGTCATGACCTTGAAAAATGTTAATGTATTCAACCTGTTCTTGAAAAGGAACAGATATATGTAACTGAGTATCATATACTCACTATTCACGGATACGATCCCATTTGTTCCTCAGAAAGCTGTAAGCCAGAGGCTGACCAACAGCATTGTTGGCTATTGCACCAAACACTCGGGCAGCATCTTGCTTTCTTATACCAGAATTCTCAGTTATGGCCCAGTCCAAGTACCTGAATGTATGAAAAACCGGAACAGTGCTCCCCAATCCATATGGAATACATCACGTTTTTATGAACAATTTAAATGCATTAATATAAAGATGATTCCAGATACATAAATCTCTATAAATAATCGCAAATACACAATGGAATATGAAGGACGTTTAATTATGAGAGTGGGGTGTCAGTGCTCAAGTCAATAAGCAACAGTAAACAATCTTCCATAGCCTAAATTATGAAAGAAATACATTCAGGTAAATATGGCGATATTTTAACAGCTTTTGAATTATAAAATTTTACTGTCTTCTTTCTTCATTTTGGGGCACATGAAAAATCTCATGACTGGAAAACTATATATTAGAACACATACACATGCTGATGTTATAACAAGGGATAGATTTTATGAATGGTGATTTGATGATCATCAGGGGCACAAACCTACAGGATGTCTATGTAGAGACTGACAGTGTAAATGGCACTGCTAATTTGTATCTCCTCTCCTTTTCAATGTTGACATAGCTCTCTAATGTGTTACTGGGGGACAGGCAGAGGCATGAATATTGTCAAATGGCAGTGTAACCTTTATCCACACACAATTACAAACTCCTATTATAAAATCAAAGAGATTTGGAAACAAGCAGGTGTTATGTAACACAAATTAGTACAATTTCAATGAGAAACAGCGGTTCCAGTGATAGACATAAGAGATAGAAACTCCTTACATAATGGCAGCCCCTTATCAAGATAGCAGCAGATGCTGACAAATGCTCTCTTTATCTGCATGTATGCTTGACAAGACCACATGGCTGTTAATTCATGCCCTGCTTGTCTTAAATGGTCTAAATTTCATAGGTTCTATGGAGCTTAATGGTTATATTTTTGAAATCCCGGTCTCTTATCCAGTGCATGTGAGGGATTTTTGAAGTGAATTTTGAAGCCTAACACTGATCTCATCCAGTTCCCCTTCAATAAGCATTTGGCTCTTTGATTGACTGTTTTTCTTTTGTCCAATAACAACTGTGTATGTCGTACTTTATTTATGACCACATGAATAGATTTTCTGTCTGGAGCTGTTAACATCCTGAAATTGGTGCCAGAATTATATACCTATATTTCTCACACAGTCGCTTTTCAACACAGATATCATACACGAACACTTACTATTCCAGTGTGAAATTCACACGTAATATTTCAACACATGAAATAAGATGACAGAGTCCTGACTGCTGATCACACATGTCACAGTAAAAGTAACAATACAAGGCTTAGAATTTATGAGTGGGCTGGTAGATTATTTGTACACGTAAGCTCGCTTCCCCATAGCTGTTCAGTGATTTATTGGTGTGATATTAAAGGTAAATTGTAATGTGTACAGGTAATGGTGTTTTGACCACACTGCTTCCCTGTGCTTCTTTTTTATTAGCTTTATCACATCATTAAACATAAGATGGGCAAGGCATGTAGGATGAATAGGAGAGATGAGGTGTCCCATACAAAGGTTTGCTGGAAAGGCCAGCTTGAAGGGGAAGTAACTGCTTGGAGGGTCTATGTATAAATGGGATGATAATATTGTCGCGTATTGGGCGTATATCGCGACAAATAACTTCACGGTGTATTTGGTATAGCGAATTTTATTTCACATCCACTCTCACAATCACCCAAATTACAGATTTACGATTACTGCTATCTGCAGTATCACAATTAGTACACTCCAAATGCCACAATACAACTGACTGGTTGCTGGCTAACTCGGAACTAACGTAGCTCGAGGACTGACTCGTAGGTAGCTCCAGGAATGACTGACTCAGTACAACTTGGCGACTGTTACTTTATAACTCGACTCGGCGACTGTTACTTTATAACTCGACTCTGTCTTCGGCGATGGCCAGGTTACAACCCGGTGGCTGTCACAGTACAAACTCTCTGTGAATAGCCTTCGCTGCTCCTTATGTAGCCTTGATCGGACCATACGGAAAACGGCCACGTAATAAGCACCCTTGTTGCCTGGCGCTGTGTTGCTAGTAACGCTAGCGGTAGTAACCGCTGTTACTACCGTAACAATCCTGTTGC